AGAAAGCTGAGAGACCGAGTCTTCTGAAACTGACAGAAGAGAAACATTGGGATGAGCATCATGATCATTGCCTTCTACCTGACTTCAGACTAACAGAGCTAACTACCTCTCTCTGCTCATTGATATAAAAGGCAAAGATTTTTTGTGATATATATTTACTGGACCAATGGTATAATTGAAAGAACTGTTGGACAAGCTTTTCAGTATCAAATGCCTTTCCTCAAGTACTTTATAGCAAAAAGCTATACCAACAGCTCTCCCAACCATACAAGTTGGTCTAGTAAAAGATGCACAAAAATTCTCATCTATCATACACTTTTTCTGACCGCTGCAGCTAAAACAATACACCAATCCCATACTACTATCACCACTGATGGCACTGTACCCAAACTGCCTTGCAATCTGCTCTAACAGCTTCAAATGCACTCAGTAGAAGGGACAATTTAACTGAATCTTACATAAAAAGAGTCTCAAGACAGAAGATCCAATGACCATTACTGGTACTCACCTTCTATCCCAGACTAAGATCAAAACAAGGTCTGTGCTTAATAGTCAAAGATGTCTAAGGCAGTTAATGCATCCAAAATTTCTTTTCATGACCAAGACCACCAATGGAACTTTATCAGGGCAAGTTTCTTATCAAATATCCAATCTAAAACCTGTTTGAAAGGTTTCCAGAAAATTTGTGAACTCCAAGTATTGCCAGAATTAGTTCACTTGCCTGCTTGCCTGGACAAATGAAATAAGAACAGACAGAACCAAAAATGGACTTGGTGTTTTAAGTTTTGAGTTATACAATGGAAAAATATCCAAATAGCACAGGAGGAACCCAAAACTCTTCTCAGTTGCACCTTGCAAAGATCAAGCCCTACATTTTCAAAATGAAGTGATATTTGCAAACCTCAAAGCCTCCATTAAGGTGTATGGGAACCAGGTGGTTAATTCCCAATCTACAATTTCTGAAATCTAACTCATTTCAGAACAACTTATTTTTAAGTCTCCATTACAAAAAACAAAACACACAAATATTCCTATAACTAAATATGGCCTGGTAGAATGTTACTTGTTCAACCTGGATTTGCTTTCTACTTGCATGTCAAAGTACTGTTGATAGTACTTTGGTATTTAATAGCCTGGAAGTGTTTGCCTGAAAAATCTCATTGCATAGGCAGATGCTGTTCTTATTGGGAAAGAGTTAAGGGTTAATGACGGACTGATATCCAGTTGTGATAATGAGTCAATGGCATAAGGGAGCTCAGTAGTGACTCTGGTGAAAAAGGATCTTTGAAGAGGAACCCAAAAGCAGACAAGCCTGGGTAGAAAGCATGAGTGTGATATGCATGCATCTATGTGATTAAATTTTAACCTTATGAAGCAAGCATGTAGTTAATTATTCTGTCTGTGAAGAAGAGTGGGGCAGGTGGGTTAAAAATCATCTGACCACACTGCTACACTGGAACAATTTCAGTTGCTAAAGATTTCCTTGAGAAGTCTCAGGTAAAGCAATGGAAGAAAATAGTATGGAGAGGTTCAAACATTAGAAATAAAATTGCTTCAAAAGGACTGCATTTTCAGCAGGAGGGAAATTCAGAGTTGCCATAGCAGCCACCCACACACGCTACAGAGAGAAAGGGAGAAACTGCAAATGAGCCAAAAAAAAAAAAAAAAAA